ATGACCAAATTTTGGCCGCAATCAAAGTGTCCGGCTTCTAACGACGCGGGAGATCGCAAAACTCTTTAATATCGCTCATACTACTGTTGCAAACTTAAAAACAGCTTGAAATGACGAAAAAGATATATGGATGTTTTGTTTCAATTTAAAGTAAAAAAGCCGCAGAACTTTGTGAACGACCTAATATATATAATATATGTGTGTATATATTGTGTATATATATATATATATATATATATATATAATAGAACATATACAAGTGCATACAGTCATATATAATTATGTACATATAAATTTCTTATCAGGTAACATATCAAATATATACTTATAAAATTTTAAAGATAGATGTTTATACAAATATATAATAATTTGATTAAAATTTACCTATTTTCTTGAGGATTCTCTACATGCAATCTCAATTGTGTTCTGGCCTTTTCAATACATGAAGTATTGTTCATAATGCAGCTCCATTTTGCAATTTCCTGCATTAAATATTTATCAATATCGTATTTACTAGATGCCATGTCATCGATAATGTGATTTTCTACACGTTCAAACAGATTTTTTATTTTTCCTAATATTGTCTGCAATTGGACAAAAAATATTTTTCTATTAGATTATATAAAAATAAATATAATACACACATATATATTACATATGCATATAATAATAAATAAACATTTTAATTCTGTACAACAGCATTATGTAATACATGCGTTTGCAATTGAAAAAATATTATGATATATTACGTTACATTTTTTATAAATTATTAAAAAACACTCAACTTTTATTAAAAATTGATTTGTAAAGTAATTAGTAAGATTTCTGTTTGTACTTAAAAATATATCACATTAAACGTCATAATTATCGTATTCTTATATATTTTTATACTTCCAACTCTATTTTATAAGTTTTGTGTAATATATTTTTAAAGTAAATCATAAAATTCAAATTAATTTGCTTATATTTTATATTTTATGTTATATTATACTAAGACCGTTTTTGAATAATTCTTCATATTTATTTTATTTTAATTATTAGTTTATTAAAAATAGTTTTATTCACATAAATTTACTGTTGTATATTTAGTTTATTGCATGTCTCATGTTAGATTTTAAAGTGCTTTATTATTTATTTTAGTAAAAATGGAGATAAAAAAGTCGATTTCCCGACTATCGATGGAACCTAAAATTCGAGTTTCATGGGTATCTATGAATCATATAAGATGTAAAAATGATGGTCTTTTTTCATAGAGACCTGAGGAAAGTATTGAAAATTTATCAAAACTTTTGAAAATAGCATCATTCGATCGATCTGAAGACAACTATAAAATTGATGACATGGATAAATTTTCAATCAAACCAAGTTTTGGTTAAGCACTTATTAAATAGTTTTCGAGATCAATAATGTTTTAATATCGGGATTGCAAAATTCAAGATTGCGGATCCAATATGGTGGATCAGTATTGAGAAAAAATAAATTCCAGGATGTAGTTACTTCCGAATAAAGATCTGATTCCACATTAAAATACATCATGTTTTTTAATTTGTTTATTTAAATATTTTTGTTTCTTTGTTGAATAGAATTCTTTAGTTCTAACATAGAAAATATTAATAGTTTTTATATTAATTATTTACTATTAATATTCTCTATGTTAGAACTAAAAAATTCTATCCAACAATAAACAAAAATATTTAAATAAACATACTAAAAAACATAATGTATATGAAAGTGTAATCAAATCTTTTATTCGGAAGTAACTACATTCTGGCGTCTAGTTTCTCTTAATACTGATCCACCATATTGGATCCGCAATCTTAAATTTTGCATACCCTATATTAAAACATTATTGATCTCGAAAACTATTTGATAAGTGTTTAACCAGAACTTGGTTTCATTGAAAATTCATCCATATGTCATCGATTTTAGTTGTCTTCAGATCGACCGAATAACGCTATTTTCAATAGTTTTGATAGATTTTCAATACTTTTCTCAGGTCTCTAAGAAAAAGGACCATCAGTTTTACATCTTATATGGTTCATAGGTACCCATGGAACTCGAATTTTAGGTTTCATCGATAGTCGAAAATTCGACCTTTTTTAACATCCACCTTTTAAAATTAACTTTAATTATATATGATTAATTTATATACAGATACTTGAAGATAATTTTATTTGATCCATTTATAAATTTATTTGTTGTATTCATAAATTTTTAAATGCATAATAGAGTTTACTGCATTTTAAATATTAATTCAACCGACTTTCGGGTTGATATTTTTTTCGCCTATAACTTTACAGGGTTACAGTTAAAAAGGGAGCACATAAATTGGAGAACTACACCAAAAATACTATTTCTAATTAACGAAAAAATTAAGTTTCGCCTATAACAGACGTAAAAAACATCGCGTAAGACTCCACAGCCGATATATATATATATATATATATATATATATATATATATAAATGATATGTTAAATATTAATGTAAGAAAAAAAAATAAAATATTTAATTTTTTATTTTTAAATATTTCTAGCAAACATCAAATATTTATTAATGTTTTGGATCCCTCTAATATGTAAAAAAATTTATCGATATAATTTAAAATACCTTAAATACTTCCGAAGGATAGAGTCCAGAATTAAGAAATGGAATAATATTTGACATGTATTCCAGAGCTTTAAACATAGGATACCATGCCACATAATCGTTCTCTTGCCATAAATAACTCGAGAGTTCCCAAAATGTGGAAAAATTGAGTTTTCCCTGTATCATCAGATGGAATGAGTCATCGATGATTTGGGCTCGATTCAGAACATGTATATTTGTATACTGTTCAGAATTTAAGTAACGCGCAATTAATTTCCAATTTTCGCCATCATAATTGACGCGATAAAATCCTGTACACGACACACGGCATAAATTTTAATATTTACTTTTTTGTTCAAAATATATGATATAAAATATATTTCGAATATATATGTTTTTAAAATATGTGATATAATAAAAGGCCAACTTAACGAGCTTATATGCTATTAATTGAAAAATTTTTTATTAATTTACGTCATAATATACAAAAGTTAAGATAAACGTTTCGACTGTACGACAGTCTTTTTCAATATCCTTATAATATGTCTAAAAATTAATTTAGTCATATCGACCTTATTATAAATACAACATTTATGAGATTATATGACGAACGCAGTACAAAATTCATGTTTGTTGGCATGAGTTAGAGCGTCAGATGCTGTTATATTATGTAACGACACTGTGAACAAATTAATATATCCGCTCAAATATTACATTTAGATTTTTAATAAATAGTGTTAACTTACTTTTTTGTCGCGAACATAACACTTTTTTTAAAAAAATTATTTCTTTTTACTTAACATAATCACAATGTGTACTTTTTTAAAAAACAAATCGATATCTGTATCTTACCATGTCGGCGCGCTGTATATATACCCAATTTTTAAGATGACGTAGACAATTTTTTTAGAATATCAAAATAAGAACCGTCAAGACGCTCGGTGTCCTTTTTTAGGTTGATACTGTTGTTTTCTTCTTTAATATATATCATTTCTGATATCAACCTTTTATAATAATTCTTTTCATAATCTAGGATTTTTGTGTCGTTCCAATTGAAATTGTGTGTAAATTTTACAATATGATCAGAAACCACCGAGTGCCTTGCTGAATCTAATCTAATATTATTTTTATGTTCATTTACTCTTGTACCTAATTGTCTTTTCGTCTGTCCTACATATGTAGCATCACAATTATTACACGAAATCTTATATATGACCCCCGAATTATTTTGGAGCTTATCTCTGTCTTTTTGCGTTTTTATGACTCTGTTTAATTTCTTTAGACATCTGTATCCTACTGTTATATTTGATTTCTTTAATTCTGATGCTACTAGTTCCGAGATTCTTTCAATATAAGGTATCGCTATGAATTTTTTATTATTGTCATTATTTATGATTTCGTTATTTATATCTTGAATCATTTCTTTGTTTAATCTATTAACAATAAGGAACTTCAGTCTATTATTGATTTCTGAGAAAATGAGATTAAGAGGATAACTATTGCTCAATAAAATCTCTATGATTAATGTTAAATTTTTACTATGAAAACGGGGATGTGATAATAATATTGACCGGTCTACTAAATTATATATTACACTTTTTTTGTGGCATATAGGATGATTTGAATGATATGAGAGTGTTCTACCCGAAAATGTTTTTTTCTGAAACCAATCTATGTATATTATGTTATTTATAATTTTGAGTGAAATATCTAAAAAACTTATGCTACGGTTATCCTCTCTTTCTATTGTGAATTTTAATCTATCGTGACAATCATTAAATTTTTCTACTAGATATGTGACTTGATCTTCCGGCAAGCAAAGCAAGATATCATCGACGTAGCGATAGTAAAACCTTATATTAACCTTTATAGTTTCAAGAATCCTAGTTTCTATATCTTGCATGACAATATCCGCAATAATTGGAGATAAAGGCGATCCCATAGGAGTTCCATGTATTTGTTTATAGATCGTTTCGTTGAATGTGAAGTACGTTGAAGTCAAAATGAATTTAATTACATTAACAAACTCATTTATAAAAAAACAGCTGTCCATGAATTTATTAAAGACATAGAAAGCAATTCGAATAACATAACTAATCTCACGACAATAAGAAACATAGCTATTCCACAGTTCTTTGTTTTTTTAAACAACAATACTAGGAAAGACATAATTAATGACAAACTTACTTTTATGTACAAAAAAACCATGACATTTTGTAAACAAATCCCAGCATCATTTTCACAAGAGCAGACAAGGGAAACACGACCGTAGCAATGACCAAAGAATTTTATATAGACAAAGTTGAAGAATATAATAGTTCATACTATATAATACACATCATTCGTATTTCAATATCTTACTTTTCAGTCGTATTGAAAAGGATTTAAGTACAAAGTTTTGCTGAAATTCTAAATAGATTTAATTATACTTTCAAAAAAATCTCAAATATCTAACAAAAATCATTTCTTACATAATAAATCTCAATTATTTCGAAAACCTGACGTACTGGTAAAAATAAGTCATTGTTTTCAGCAAAAATTGTTTCCATAATTTGATAAGATTTTTGAAAATTTGAAAGATACACCATTTAAATGAGAATAAAAAAGAAAAAATTCTTTATAAACTAATATTATTATATTACATTGTACGTATTACTTACTTCCTATTTAAATATTCGTCAATACTCGCCCAAAAAAAGATAGATGAAATTATTTTTTCTAACATGCGCCAAAAAGCTGCTCCTATAATAAAAATATAAAATATGTTTAAAAAATATATATATACACATTTTATTTACAAATTCAATCCCCATCATGTTCATAAATTCACAAACAAAACTACTATAAACTAGTATAATACAAAAAAAACTAATTTTAAATTTAATTTACTTTTATCTTTGGCAGAATAAAAATAAGAAGAAATAATTGTAAATTTAAAACTTTTTATCTTTTCTTAGATATATATAGTCAGCCATTCCAACTATTGGTTACAAATTATTTACAAATTTTATTAATGACTGGTATAAATATACTTTATACCTGTCAAATTACATTACATAAATCAAATGCACATACAAACATACCCACAGTATGAGAAAAAGGAGAAGGTGAATTAATTTTAAACATATAATTAGAATTTTCCTTAAAATAATTTACAGCAAATGGATGTAAATAATAAGAATCATCTCGGATTTGAACTACAAACAAGTCCATCATCCGAGAATCTGGATATATCTGCAGAAAGAAAAACGAGATTGGATATTATAGAATTTTCATGAGTAATATGTAATAATTTGAAATAAAAATATTATTACAAATATTATTGCAGTACATATACTCTTCACAAGTTTGGAAACATCTTACATTTTACAGTTAAACAATTGTATGACAGCGATTTGTCATATATATAAATGTTATTCAAATATTTTACGTTTTTTTTACAATTTATTCATACAAAAACACAGATTCTGCACAGATCGCTGTTATACGATTGTTTAACTGTAAAATGTAAGGTGTTTTTAAACTAACTTGTGGAGGGTACTGTATTTAAAATATTTATTTGTGTGTTTGTGTGCAAAATTTATTTAAATTATAATAACATAATTTACATGTACTTATTAACTACACTTAATATATTTTTAATAGTTTATATAATAAAAATTTAAATAACAGAGTTTTTTTCTATACTTAGCTTAATAAATATGAAACAACCTTATCGATAATATATGATTCGAGGAACACAACAAAGCCTTTGTTCAACCACCAGGAAGATCGACATAACGAATAGAAGAAATTAATAAACCAATAATGTAATATATTATGAGCTACTGAACGCATTGCTAAAGTTTTAAATGCAACAGGATAAAATTCTTCGTTGTAGATAATATTTGTTTTGCTGAAAATTGTTTGTAAATAAATAATTTATATCAAAATATTTTAAAAGTTAATAATATGATATTATTATATTATTATTATTATTATTACTATTATTATTATTTTTATTATAATTATTATATTATATAATTATATTATATTATTAGATTGTTATTATTTGTAATATTAATATATATACATACATATATATATATATATATATATATATATATAAAGTTTCCAAATTAATAATTTAAATTTTAATGATACACAAAAAGTAAAGTATTATTAAATATTAAATGTCTATATATCAAATGACTATTACGTGATATATCTAAGTTTTTGTGTAATTTAACTATTATATAACATTTAACTGATTACGATGATTTATTGAAATAACTTATCTAAATTATTTTAGATATCAATATATGTTATATATATATATATATATATATATATATGTATTTAAAATTTGAAATTCAGACTAAATAAACTCATAAATATGCAGTCATATATATACATATATGTATACAGGGTGTCACTTAATTGACACCCAATATTTATATGGCGATATTCCTCGTAGAAAACTGAGTCGAAAAGTCTTGTACCATTTTTCTGTAAGGTATATTAAAATAGTGATTATTCAGTAGCGTATTAACGTTACTGAATAATTACTACTCTGTTACATATATGTATATCTGATTAAGTAAGCCAAAATTTAAATAATTAGTGTAGAAAACTTTATGCTTTGGAATTATAATAAATCTTTACAAAGTTAAAAAAATATTATAACTTTATTAAACTAAAATTAAAATTATTTTTATTTAAATAATGTATTACCTGAATAAAATCACTCCACAATTCCGCCTTTTATACTCGGTCAAGTCTATCGGAATAATTACATAATCCATTTTTGGCTCGCTTCTCGAAATATTCCTCCATTTGTTTTCTAAATACATGCTTACATTTTCCGCAACATATTGCGCCCATTTCATGTAAGGTATCAAATCCCATTTGCTCCAAAAATAGATCTTGTTTATCTTGGAAATATAATCTGGTTGCAAATCAAACATTATAATCGTGACATCGTTTACAGAAATTTTAGGTGTCATGTGGAACAGTAAACGTATCATCCCGTTATACGAAAACTCGATTTTTATTGGTATCGTATTCGATATAGCATAGTATCTTGTATCCAATTTGACGGTGATGTTAAAAGTTGCTTTTAATTTTGGGTCGTCCCAACACGGAAATAATTGTCGAGCATTTCTCGGTTGAAGTAAAGTTGCGAATAGAAACCTAAATTTTAAAGTAAAAAGCTTTAAATTATAATAACAACAAGTTTTTGCAGTTGTTGTGTAGGAACATTAAAGATTGCAGAATGTACCAGAGAAATTTATAAATAATATTTAAAAGTATATCATCAGAATGTTTTCTGTTATCTAATTGTAAGTATAATAATACAAATAATCTAGATGAAATTTTGATGTCAGCTTACTTTCGTATAACACTAAAAAATATATTATCCATATCTATGCACCTTAGATAAAAATAATGTTATTCCTATTTAATTATATCTAGAATAATGTTCAGATAATTTGATTAAGAGTCTTAGCACACATACACACACACACACGCACGCACGCACGCACACGCATACGCACATACATATATATATACTCATCTAGTAGTAAAATTTAAGCAGTGATCGATAAAAACGTACAAATAAAAAATGAATATATTTTATATACTTCTTTTATTATTTACATTGTTTTTATAAGCTGTATAACTCTTTACATAAGCGATTTTAAAAATAATGTTATCTAAATGATTCACAATATAACTATATCTTTTATCTAGATATATATAAATTTAAATTAACATTTATCTTATCAAATTTTTATCTCACTTTTATCTAGATAATTTTAAAGTCATCTAAGTATACTACAACATTGTATATCATATATGTGTATATAAATATTAGCGTATTTTTATTATTACATGTTTACTCATGTATTAATTATTATATACTACTTTTATTATTTTAATATACTTACTCTTTATCTGTTCTATCTTCTCTTTTATATAGTACATTCCATAATGCCGGTGAACAAATATGATTTCATATTTCACGTACATTGTATAAACTCCACAATCTAAGTGTGTATTTTCAGGCGATAAATATTTAATGAAATTGAAAGTAGCAAAATTCTTCGAATAATCAAAATTTGGAGTATAGATTGTTCCATTAGGCGATTTAAACATCACTTTCAATATATGCCTGGATCTTGCAATATGTAGAGTTATGTTTGATATTTCACAATTAATATAAAAGTGGCATTCAACTCGCCAATGAATGAAATGCCTGGTAACACTATCATGTCCAGGTTGTAATGAATCGGCATTATACAGTCGTTGTTCGATGAATTACGGTAATTAGGTACGGTATGGCACGGAATTTTTGCGCTTTCATTGGTAAAAGTGGCCATTGTTATTACAGTAATGTATAATAAATATTTAATGACTATTCTAGAAACATCATATTGGATTTCAAAAATCTGAAAATAAAAAATTATTTCTTTGCTAATAGTAAGAATAATTAAACAAAAAACAAATAAGGAACGTGGAAAGAAAATATGCATAATATCGCGACTGCTATACTATAGATGTATAAAAAAACAATAAAACGAAAATAGAAACTCAAATAAATAAATAGCAGAAAAATAAGGAACCTAGACTAAAAAATTAATATAAACTAAAATAAAAATATATATATAAAATATTAAAATATTAAAATTTATAACAAAAAAAACAAAAAAAATCTTTATCAAATAAAAATTATAGAAATTTAAAATAAAGAAAATAAAAAAAATAAGAAACAAAAGTTTTTAAATATTTAAATAATGCGTTTTTATAAGCATTAATAATAATAATCAACTACAAACTAAATTTCTTTGCTAGTAATAAGAGAATTAAACAGAAAACATAAATAAGGTAACACAAGTTAAAAATTGCAAAAAAATACACCAATTTATAAATACATATAGGTTATCAATTTTACAAAGAGTTTGTATGAACAATATAGTTTATCTAAGTGATAAATATAAGGCCAACTTATCGAGCTGAATATTCGAGATGTTCAGTCAACTACCATTTATTACATGTATAAATTATAAAACTACAGTCATTATATTAAACTAACGCAAATTACAATCATTCTATAAACGTTTCGACAATGGAAAGATCTCATTATATTAACAAAATGGAAAACGTTTTAAAAGATGTCAACACTTACACTATTGTTAAAAAAAATCCGTGCAAAAAAATAGAGAACGATTTGAATGATTTGTTGAAGAGATGGCTTAAGGAAGATTATATTTCAAAAAACGAATATTATAAATTACGTTGTAGTGATTCTCTCCTTCCAAAAGCGTATGGATTACCTAAAATCCATAAGGAAAACTATCCAGTTAGAATCATAGTTTCATCGGTTAATACAGCTCTATACTCGCTGGCTTCGTTTTTACAAAACACCTTACGAACTAGCCTACCCAAAGCGAAAAGTCATATTAATAATAGTTTTGATTTGTACAGCATATTGTCTGGTAAAAAGATTGATGAGAATGATAGGATGTTTCCTTGGATGTGGTGTCTTTGTTTACGAACGTTCCTCTGGATCTTGCGATTGACGGTATTAACGATAGATGGGATCACATTGGAATAAATACTAAATACCGAAAAACGAATTTTTGGGGGGTATAAAATTCATATTGACTTCTACATATTTTACATTTGATGACATAATTTATAAACAGACGTTTGGGACCCCTATGGGGTCACCGTTATCACCAATTATTGCAGACCTGGTTATGCAAGATCTTGAGGATACAGTTCTCAAAGCGTTGAATTTGGAATGTTTGTTTTATTTTCGTTATGTGGATGACATAATATTGGCCACCTCTATGACTAATATGACTCAGATTGTGAATAATTTTAACAACTATCATGAAAGACTTAAATTCACGGTCGAACAAGAGGTTAACCATAGCTTGAATTTCTTAGATTTATCACTTAAAATTATTAATAACAAAATATATATAGACTGGTATCAAAAAGAAACCTTCTCAGGAAGGACGTTATCATTTTATTCAAACCACCCATTATGCCACAAAATTGGAATAATATATAACCTTGTAGACAGATGTCTATTGCTATCACATCCACTATTTTTAATAAAAATTTGGAGTTAATTATTAATATACTCAGAAGCAATGGTTACCCTCTTGATCTGATTTTTAACAAAATTAATCATCGGATAGAACACATCATATCTAAGGGGAGCATTATAGAGAGACAGGCCAACATAGAAAGAACAAAAAGTATAGGAAATGACTCGGTCAATAAAAAATTCTTTGTCATTCCGTATATAGATGGGATCTCAGAAATGATTGTTTCCTCGGTAAAAAATAAAAATTGTATGGTAGGGTATAGATGTCTCAACAAACTGGATAATATTATTAAAGCGCAGAAAGATAAAACTAAACATCCATGCAATTCGAATGTGGTTTATAAGATCAGTTGCAATAATTGTAATGCATCTTATGTAGGCCAAACAAAGAGGCAATTGCAGACGCGAATAAAAGAACATAAAAATAATATTAGGTTGGACTCAACGAAACATTCAGTAATTTCTGAACACATAATAAATGAACATCATACTTTTAATTGGGACAATGTTAGATCATGGACAACGAAAATAATTATTATAAAAGACTCATTTCTGAGATGCTACATATCAAGGAACAAAAAAATGGACTAAATTTAAACAAATATCTGAGTTACTTAGCGAGTCGTATTTTGATATTTTGGATATATTAGCGAACAGAAATAATAATAGGACAAATAGGACATTAACGAGTAAAAACATAGATATTAGATCATATATAACACGCACGCTCTCCGATCAAGTAGAGTTTAAAATGAGCTTCTTTCTGTATTGTTGGTTTGTTATGTGTCATCCTTAATAACTGTTAATAAGTAGCAAATTGTCAAGAAGAACGATGATAGGTAAGCATACTACCGTTGTAGGGGATACATATTATAATTTGGACATACGTTGATCGGTAATTTTTTATTAATCGCAGCGCCTACGGAACGGGTTAATTTCTCGCATATTAACGATGAAACTATCCGAGATCTGAACAAAATCAGGGATCATATCGAGGCGAACATTGTTGGACAGACGGATTGAAACACGCGTTAATTGCTCAAAAACTCTTGATTCTGAATAACTATAATTAAATTTCGATATTATGTGAATTGTAAGAATTTATATTTCAATAATTATACTGAAGAAGACCGCGTGCGGTCGAAACGTTTATAGAATGATTGTAATTTGCGTTAGTTTTAATATAATGACTGTAGTTTTATAATTTATACATGTAATAAATGGTAGTTGACTGAACATCTCGAATATTCAGCTCGATAAGTTGGCCTTATATTTATCACTTTGTTTTCAATATACGAGCGACAATTGTATTAATTTATAGTTTATCTACTTTGACTACGCAATGTATGTTAGTTTTAATTAAAAAAAATTTCTATAAATTCTGTTAATAATGTATAATATTCAATTTTGACAATTAAATTTTTTAAATTTTATATTACATAGACCAATGGCTGATTAATTTATAATGTATATTGTAAAACATAAATCGTTTATAAGTAAATAGAATTAAGTAAAAAAAAAAAATATATCTATATATACTATTTAAATACTGAAATTATAAATGATAAATTAATAACCATTGTAAATACTAATGTAATATATAAATGTAAGTTGTAATACCCAATATTAAATAATTTACACTATAAAGGGGAGTTGTGTATATTGTTTATATTTAAGCTATAATGTTCGTATTTCTGTTTTTTCAAATTGAAATGTGTATAAAAACTTGTTTATTTAATATTTTTCATAAATCATTTATTTAATATTTTTTATAATCAATTTGATTTTTTATAAATGTTATAATTGGAAAAATATAATAATCAATTTGCACAAAATGTATAAAATAATATCTTATCTTTAATAACTAAATTTTAACCGTTGTATTTTCAGCTGTTTATTCATATTTGTTGTCATCATAATTATGTGTCACTGTATGTGTAATGTTTAGTTCCAAAAAACGGATAACGAAGAATTAGCTTCGCAAAATTAAACTCAATTCAAATTATGTCTTTATATGGTTATATGACAAATTAATCTGAACTTAAAAAAAAACAATATTTATTATCATTTATTATCGTAAAAACCATTTTAAAAAAAAAAAAAATTAAAATCCATTATTGTTCTTTCCTTCATAATTATGACATATGTAATTTTTCAATAATATTACAAAAGCATTTACTTAATTTTGCAATAATGTTACAAAAAGCATTAATTCTCGATATATCCTTTTGAGGTAAAATAAATTAAATAAGTATACACAATTTTGTTATAAATGAACAAATTAAAAAATTTTTTACAAAACTAAAAAGGTTTTAAATATATATTCTGCAGAATAATAGAGAGATAATTGAATATAGAGATAGTTGAAATAAATAGTATTATTTTTTTCTAAAAATGAAATAAAATATTCTTTAAAAAACAAAAGCTCTGCAATTGTGTCCTTTTTGCATATTTTTATATACATTTATTTCAAAAAATATAAAATATTCTATTTTTCACAGACCTTTAGCCTTTTGTTTGTTGAATAACAGGCGTTATTTTAGGCAACAGTGTATTGCTCAATTTTAATCTTGCTTTCTCGAAAGACTATCGAAGGCAACGTTTGCGATAGGATATGAAATACATAAATAAATATACAAAGTTATACGCGTAATAATAAAAGACTTGTTAGATTGTTATTAGATCGATGGAAGTCAAAACGCGATTGATAAGTTAATTACCAAAAGATATTTTAAATTTAGTATTTAAAATTGTCTTAAAATTAGACATACATAAATCCAATGAAGAAATTGTATATTCCACGCATTAAGAAATAAATATTGTTTAATTTTCACTGATTTTTGTACATGTACATCTATATATATAAGCACCGTCTGTCTGTCTGTCTGTACCCAAACTACTTCCGACACCTTCGGTCCGAAAAGCTAGTTATTTCATATTTTTCTATTTTCATCAAAATTATGTTTCTTATTTATTTCTTTAAGAAGTTAAACTGTACTTAAATTTAATAAAAAACTATTTCATTTTGATAAAATAAAACTTTTTATTATAATAGTACATGCAATTAGTAAATAAAATAGAAATGGTTTAATAAGGTATGATTATAAAAATTAGTTATAAAAAGCACAGTCTTAAGTAATAAAATATTTTTACATAAAGGAAGTTTGATTTATAAACACTAAATTATCGGCAATATTATTCGCCAAAATTATGCATTAAAAAAAAATGTAAAGATTTTTTAGAAGGTGCCGAATAAACATA